GTGGGAATTTTTGAAATTTGAATTTTCGGGCAGAGAGTGAACACCAATTTTCGCCTCGTTGAACACCAATTTGAGTGTTTATCTAAAATTTTGATCCCGTTTGATAATTGGAATTTTTTGGATATTTATCTAAAATTTTACTGTAGAAGTTTTTAAAAAAAATTTTAAAGTGTGTAAATTTTTGAATATTTTGAAATGTATAGTTTAAAAACTTTGAGAAATTTTTTGAGATCATTGTAGTTAAAGTTTTTAAAAAACTTATAGCAGACAAACTTGACAAAAAACTTGTCTATCAAACAAGGCCTTCAATTTTTTTTGTGTGAGATTGATTATAGAAGAAAGTAATTTTTTTTTTATTTGGAAAAGCATTTTTCTTTCTAAAAATTTTATATTTTCAGTGAACACAAGGCTTTGTTTGAAAAGTCATTTTTTATCAAAAATTATTTGTATTTTTAATGAACATATTTTTTAATTACATTTTTATCTCATATAGTTATAGGACATTTTTTTTTTACAAAAAAAATCAAAAAATAGTAATTTAAACAGACTCATCATTTTTTGCCTAATCTAAAATATACTGTGTATACTTCTAGTAGTAATACTATGTTTGGTTAGTAGATTAATTGAAGTAATTTTGTGAAAAAATATATATATACTAAAATGCTTATTTGACGTGATGTATATGAGATAAAAATGTGACTGAAAATGTGTTAGTAGTACACCAATTGATTGAATCGGGTTGTTTTGTGGATCCCCCTTAGATTGTCCGTTTGGACCGTTCTTTGATGACTCTCCGAATGTTAATCTAACTGTATGCGTGTGTTCTTGATCATTTGTGAGAAAAAAAGAAAAATGTGTTAATAATACAAGTAAGTCCGTACGCGTAAATAAAGTGTAAATAATAGCAGTGTAAATTGTAAACCAAACGAACTCGTACTAGTACTTTTTAAGAGGGTCATTTACGCGCTTTAAATGGAGCGTGAGAGAGAGAGAGAGAGAAAGCACGAAACTGGGGGAATGGCAGAACTGGGTGACAGTGTGCAAATGTCTGATGATGCTGATGCGGTAAAATGGCACGTGATCTGGGAAATGGGCATGTGACTAGCACTGAAATGATATCCAACAACCCCACGCTAAACAAGCCCCCAGGCCCCCACCACCACCAAAAAAAAAAAAAAGAAGAAGAAGAAAGAGTGTGTGCTTCAGTATCGCAAAAGTAGATGGTTAAACAATAATTTTTTTTTCTTTATTTATAAGAATTGTTCCAGGTTTCGCCAAAGAAGAACTCCTAATTAATATCGCCACATTCATTGTCCTCACAATTGTAGAAAAGCTTCCCTCATTCCTCTTCCTTGCAGCCTCTGATCATGCTAGGCAGCCGCTTGGCATTTGTATTTTCAGTGCGGAGACTCCAAGAAATTGGCTCTTCCTTTGGAAAAAAAGGTGAGGCCTTTTCTATATCAGCACAAGCATTACAATACAAGAATAAAACTACTAGTACCATATGATAATTACAGTGGAGAAATTCATTAGTAAACACTAGGGCTGCAAACGAATCGAATCGCCCGCGAGTCGCTCGAAATTCATTAGTAAACACTAGAGCTGCAAACGAATCGAGCCGCTCGAAATATTTGGACTTTGGACAATCACCTTTTTATTAAACAAAAAGAATGCGGTCAAAAGCTTCTGTAGTAGTAAAAGATAAAGCCCACTGCTATCTCCAAAATAATAATTACACATTTATTTCCGTTTTATTCACACGCTCTCTGACTTATATATGCATTATCAACATATTTTTTAATCACCTTTTTATCTCACATATTCGCATTAATAAAGTGTTACAGTGTTTTTTTTTTTTGTTAATGAAATTATCTCAATAATATACTACCCAAACGCACAAAAAGCCCAATATTTGGAGATGATTGACTTCTATCAATCTACACATGTTAAGAAATGAGTTGAACTTAATGCTGGAGCTTCAAGAGCTTCCAAAATGCCACGACGCAACTAGAGTGCAAGTGTTTATATGATTATATACCCGAAAACCTCATGCTCGTTATATGTCGAATTTTGGTACCAACCCAAAATATTTTTTACGTATATGAGAAAGAAGTAATTCGTTTCTGCAAGGAAATTGATGAGTGTGTTTGGACAGCCAATTATTTGGCCAAATATATTTGCTGACATCACCATTACAATTTTCAATACACCTTTTTATCTTCCCAATTACCTTTTTATCTCACATACATCACATCACAAAAAGTGCTACGGTAAAAATATTTCAAATAACTTATAATCCAAACACACTCGATGACATTCCAGGGTCTAACCCCACGTCTCTTATTTACCCGTCCGTCATCAATGCGGGCAGATGTTTGCAGCTGCGGATTAATGTGGATGTAGAATTTCTTTTTCTTTTTCTTTTTCTTTTTTTAAGTAGGCCTACTACACCAGTCCCGACAAATCCAAATACTTTGCGGTGAGGGCAAGTCTTAATCAGGCCCATGGAAATATAGCTGTGTAGCAGAAGAACGAACATACAGCAGAAGCGTAACTTAGGACTTGGCCCATAGGTCCCATACCAAACGTGCGTCTCACTCGTTATACTACTGACTCCAGAAGGGTCCGAAAAAAAGGGCCATCAGCTGTCACCTGACAGAACAGTCAGGAACCTCGATCGCTAGGGAAGAGGGAGCAACCGTTTCTCCTAGTTCACAATCAAGATTTAGTCAAAAAAACAAAAAATATTATACGATTCAGATTTTATTTTGTATCTTAACTTTAATAACATGTGTGAAATTTATAAAATTTTATTTTAAAATTATCCATTATTAAAAGTAAATTATATCACATATAAACAAAATTATATTGTGTAAAATACAAATAATTTACAGGCCGTTCCTGGTCGCGATGGCGAGTGGCCGGACAAATTCTGCAGAATGCACGATACCCAGGCTTGCTTTAAAATGCCACTCAAATCTAAACCCCAAAAAAGGAAAAGGGCAAAAAAAGAAAAAATGAAGCCACTCAAATCTAATCGAAACACACACCAGAATTACACGCGCTTCAAATCTCTGATTATTCATGAATGTACGCACGTTGAAGACTTTATCCAATTATTATTCGGAACCTTAAAAAATATATATATGTATATCAGTCCAAATTCCAAAATCACAATAATGTGGTCTCCACCGGGGATGGGTGTCTGCCTGGATTTGATGTTGAAGAGAAGCAAACGAGTCATCAACTGAGTGCCCAAGTAACCATCATACCACCTTCGGAACCAAGCAAAAAGAAGAAAAGAATACCCAATCCACAAGTCACATTTTGCTTTCTTTTAACGTGCTGATGTTCACCTTCCTGCTAATTTCCTCAACTTTTTTCTTTCCTTTTCTTTTTTAACACAAAATTTTATCACCCTTTTAGTGTCTTTTTACCCTTTTTTTTTATACTGGTAGTATTAGTATTAGCTAGTTTTCAGGAAGTACACTGAGTGTGTTTGGATAGTAAATTATTTGAGATAATTTTATGAAAAAATATTGTAGAAATTTTTTGATGTAATCTCACTGTTAATGTGAGAACTGCAATGATGGACAAGCTATAAGAATCTTTGTATGAAACTTGTGGTTCTAAGGGTATGTTTTGATTCGTTGTGGCGATCATAGTTAAATCCAGCCAAATCTTTTATTACAAAAATACAAAAAATATATATATAGAGGTCAATTTTATTGGTCAAAGGAAAAAATATGCCGTTGCAAAGGAAAACAATTAATTGTGTAGTAATATTTTTAGTTTGTTGCATATTTTTTGAATGTTCTGTAGATCAGATGAAAGCCATGCATGATTTTGTAGACAATCAAAACTACTATAAAAACCGTACAGGCTTTCAAGAAATTAAAAAGGAATAATTTCAGAAATCTCAAGGGAGATTTCTGACAATTTCACTTAGCTTCTCTTAGGTTCAAGAAATTACACTTATCTCTCTTGATATAGTAAAATACCTATAATACCCTCAATTTAGTAAACAATTTTAAATTTACGACAACAAATTTACAAAGCCTAAAAAAATATATTTTTCTGTCTCTTGTCTATTTTCTAGTTAATATAATATCTTTTTATTATCTTTAGTTTTGTGAATATTAGCAATTTAAAATTACAAAATCTATAAAGAGAGTAAATTATGTGTCAAACGAAAAGGCAATACAGAGGCTCACAATGATAGAGAAATAAATAATGAAAATAATGATTGAAGTAGGAAAAAGAACTAAAGATGTAGAATTTGTCATATTTTTGTTTGTTGCTGAGAAAAACTTTTATAAAATATCAATAATTACATAATGATTTCTTTCACTGGATTATACTTTTTTTTATTATGATTTTATTATAGAGGTAGAATTTATTCTCTACTTTCAAGCTATTAATATTTTTGAAATCATAGGAGGGTTGTAATGGTGGTTTAAGTCAAATTAGCTTATATTGAAAAGGTATTTGAGTATTGATATTTAATTTAAGAGTATAAAATTGGTTATCAATGAGGGGTTTTTCGCGTGTGTGCGTTTTTTTTTATTGTGACAAGTATTGATACTGCATATGCAATATGAGATTTTTTTGATGACTACTTGATTTTAGAACTTATGATTGGATAGCTGTTAGGCATCTGGCTTGTTGATTTTTGTAAAGTGTGAAAGAAAATGATTGAGTATACTATATTTTTCTTTCTTAGTTTTGTATAAAAGGGCAATTTAGAATTTTTGAAAGAAAATCTAAATTCTTGGTTCTACATTGTTACTAAACAGTAAAAATATGGGAGGTATATGTAATTGTTAAAATTTGAGGGGAGCTCTTTTTTAATTGCGAGAAATTTCAGGGGAGGTTTGTGAAATTATCCCAATTAAAAATGGTGCATCGATATGCAGGTTCCTGAAAATATATCAATAAACTGATTTTCAAGGAAAGCGCTACAGCTTAAGTTTTTCACCGAGGAAATCGCGGAAGATCTTGCGCTTTTACGCGAAAGAGATGAGGTCGGAATCCCGCGAGCCCACGTTTGGCAAAAACCCTTGACCGCGTTTACGCTGCTGGCTGCTGCCTGCCTGTAGCCTATTTTCATCGTTCTTCTTCTTTCTCCCAACTATCTCCACCACTTTCTACTACTGTTACACTGCTAAAATTTCACTACCTGAGGCATTTCTCTTATACTAGTATAGGAACCAATGGTGAGCAAGAGGCAGAAATTGGCCCGCAAGCGATTTAAAGAAGAGCACCCTGGGCTCTTCCCAAAGCCAGACCCAACGCCTCCCAAAGACCCAACCAAGAAGAAGAAAAAGTTATCCAAATTCAAGAGGAAAAAAAGGGTTTCCAATGACCCAAGTAATCCCAAGAAATCCCTTAAGGGGAAAAAGCACCCACTTAGAATTCCAGGTATGAAGCCTGGCGACAGCTGCTTCATATGCAAAGCACCCGACCACATTGCCAAGGACTGCCCTCAGAAAGCTCAGTGGGAAAAGAATAAGGTCTATTATCTTCAATTTACTTATGAATGTACATGTGTGCGTGTGTATATATATAAACTAAGTATTCATGTAGCCCGGAACAATCTGTGATGGGATTTTCGATGGTTGTAGATATGTTTGTTATGTCGGCAACGGGGTCACAGTCTTAAAAATTGCTCGAAGCAGAAGGACGATTCCACCGATAACAAGTTCTGTTATAATTGTGGGCAGACGGGGCATTCTCTTGCTAAGTGTCCACAGCCTCTTCAAGATGGTAGTATTTTCTATTTGACCAAAGTTTTATTTTTCCATAGCCCTTTACTCAATGTTACTAGTGGCATTTTTATGTGTTTTGACTTACTGTTCATTGTCATTGCTTGTTTTATTATTGGTACTTAAATTTGCTTCTTAATGACATTATGTTCCAAGTTGTTATCTCTGTCCAACTCTGGAGGTTACCACTAGTCGGTTGATGATATTTCATTCAGTGTCTGATTTTTCACTCTCTCCACCGCAGCCTGGGCAGTTGGATGAACTTTTAAGCCTAAATCATGCCTGTACACCTAGAAATGGGAATTAGAGACTAAGAGATGAAACAAAGATATGTGGATATGCATAGTTGTACACGATGCAGTATCAACGATTATGAGTCGTGATTTCAAGATAATAGAATCTTGTATTGGAGGTTGTCATTCAATCATCTAGTGCATTTTTTAGTATGCTGCATCAGATATACTCCCCGAGTAAATTCAAAGAGGTTCTTGTGAACTCATAAATATTTTGAGGAAAATTATATCTTGGTCAGTTTACAAACTTAGAAGATTAGAATTCTGGAGTTTAATGTAGGGGGATTCAATTAGTAAGCTTTTGGTCACCTAGTTCCTAAGTTTTTTCACCTGTTCCCATGGTTTAATCAAACTAAAGAGTCCTGCCATGGTCTTATCATTGACTATCTTCTTGATTTTCTTCTCTTAAAAATGCAGGAGGAACACGATTTGCCAATTGCTTTATTTGTAATGAACAAGGGCACTTGAGTAAGAACTGTCCACAAAATTCCCGTGGAATTTACCCAAAGGTACATGTATGATGGCTTGGTGTTTGATTGATCAAATGGCTGTCTTAAAAGCCAACATTATAAAGTTCTTTTACTTGTAGGGTGGCAGTTGTAAAATCTGTGGTGGTGTCACACATCTGGCTAAAGATTGTCCTAATAAAAGCAGCAAAGCTTCTAATGCAGTTGGAGTAGCTGGCAAAGCACGTAAGTTGTATTTGTATCACAAACATTCATTTTGAGCTAGTATTTTGAAAAAGTTTATTTTGCTTCCACTCATTCAACAATATTGGTTACACTCAATGAAGGGTCAATATACCTTGACTATGATGGTGGCTGTTGCCTGGTTCCTGTTTTCCAGATTATATTAGAGATACTGTAACTCTCAGTGTGTGTTTGTGTACTAGGGTCAGTTCTCAAAAATTTGATCTAGTAATTCAGAAAATAAATAAAACAAAGACATGTTTTAGAGTATTGCTACATGTTATACAACAATCATCCACCCATAGTCAGCTGTTAACCCTCATGATTTAGAGTAGTTGGACTCCACCTAATCTTGTGCTTAAACTTCATTGTGTTGCAATGTGCTTTAATTTATTTGCTATCTAATCTTAAACCATGAGATTCATCAATGCGGTCTTGATTAATACAGATACAAATCATGTACCATACAACTACTCTGTTTCATTTGTTTATCATAACTTTCCCTGAGAATGATCTTGGTTGAGGTCAATTTAAAGATGTCTAGGCTACTTCAAAAAATTTGTTTCACTGTTAAAGTACATTCACTAAACTAGTATCAGCATCTTCATGAGTATGCCTTCGTTAGCCTATTGGCTTTGCTTAATTGTAAATGCATTTACCAGATTTGGAAATTCCTGGACAAAAGTTCACCATATGTTTTCTTCCAGATGTGATTAAGAAAAAACAGGCAAATCCTTTGCCGGCTTAGGTTTCTAACCTTACTTGCCATTAAAATGGTCATTTGCATGTATAAAACCTTTGCATTCCTAGTTCACTCCCGGCAACCTTACTTTTCTACAAGGCTTACCTCTTCTGGAGTAATTGTTTCATAAGTCTAATAAGAGATGAATCAAATAGTAACTTAGTCATATAAAAATATGACAGGAATAAAGCAGTCTAAGTTTTTTTTTTAGTATCAAGTAAGGGGACCCCCTGCCACTGGGATGATTCGTTAGCCTAATGAATAGCGAGGTCTGACCTTGTGCTTTTTTCCACTCAAGTGAGAAATATAATATGCAGTGAGCAAAACTGCCGGGAACTGTGTACAGATGATTTGTATTGAATTTGGCCTTGGCTATTCCTTTTGTGAGTGCATGACTTTAAAGTCAAGCTCTTGTGAACTTTTGTGGGGGAGGAAATTGATGCCACTTTGGGCATTGTGTATGCTATATTGTGCTTTTAAGTTCTGATAAATGGCTAGGTCCATTCTCTGTTCTGATGCAATCTAATTTACTGTTTTGCGGTTAACAAATACTGATATTTTCAATTTTTCATTCACGGGCAGCTGAAATTGAAGAGAGGCCTAGAGGACAAATCACCAGGTTTATCAGCGGTGATGATCTTGAAGATGACTTCATGGCAGGGGATACATTTAGTGGTAACAAAGACACGTCCTCTGAGCCCATGACCCCGGCACCTGATTCAAAGCGGAACGTAAAATTGAAGACAAGACAAGGAACCAAGGTTGTGAATTTTGTAGGTTAATACCTAGCAAGGTTTGGATAACAATAGGGCCACATAAGCTTGCAGTTCGCAAGTCAGTTACTCCATCTTTTACCAAGTTTGAGAGGCAGCTAATCAGATTCCCACAAATATGGTGCTAGCCTGGACTTTTTGGTCTGTGGTTACCTGAGCACTCAGTCTGAGGCGTGCACATCATATGTATGTTATTGATAAAAGGTCGAATTGAATGATGGCAAGGGATTGCTACTGTTTTGGCCAGATGCAGGTGACAAGACATGTTCTTTTGCCCCCATTATTAGCTAGCTAATTGGATACGACTTGTTTGGAATGGGTATATACTTTGAAAGGAGGATAATAGCACCTCCCAAAATTTTGCTGAACTTGCTGAATGTGTAACAGTTGAGAGTTGAAAATGCACTACTCTCCAAGATTTTGTTGTAACTCGTAAGCATGAGGGATAAGAGCAGCGTCTCCCGTTCTTTTCAATCGAGTGCTGTTGCCTGTTACTACATGAAAGCTATGCTACTAGAGAACGACATTCGGCTATATGTATAGATCATGGTTTACCAAAGCAAGATCACGATATTCAATGAAACAGGCATTTCTTTTCTGGGATGGAAGAAATCTGGAATAAAATGGAAGAGTAAAATGGAGTAACAAAAATGCTTAAACATGGTCATTGGTAATTTATGCTGTTGAAGTAGGTAATCCAAAATATTAAGTTAAATTGAAACCAACCATAAGGGGGGCCCCAAACCCAAAAAAAAAAAAAAAAAACCTAACCCGTAACCATGATTTCAATTTCTTTTTGGGGCGTAATTATTGTGAGACAAGGGAAGGGACGATTAGGGAGAGGAAAGCCGACGGTCCTGCATGGCAATTTGTGCAATGGCTACGTGGGGAAACAAAATAAAGAGTTTGTTGTGGACACGATCAGCCCAAGAGGCGAGACAATTCTCAACCCTCATTTTTTTCCTGGAAATTCTATTCTTCCCCGCATTTTTCTCCTCTATTAAAACTGCCAATATCTTCATCATTTCAATTTTCAAGGATCTCTCCTTCCTATTGTCTCATCGTTCTTGTTTTTCCTCTCCTCTTTCCTCTCTTCTTTTCGTTTGTTTGTATTGCAGGGTTCCTTTACCCATTATTTGAAGATTGCAACATGGTACGTTCTATCTTTCTCTATCCCCTCATTCTCATGCATATTATATTTGGCAACTTAAACTTCCTTTGGAACACAGAATGGTAAATTAATTTGTTTCTCTATCTACCCAGATCTTTAAATCCATTTTGAAATTCTTATCATCGTATGTAAAAAAAAAAATAAAAAATTTCATGTTCAATGTGTAGACATTCGCAAATCATTCCCTCTATCCAATTAATAAACTTTCTGAAAGGCCCTTAAAGGACTTAATCTAGATTGATCATTATTAATGAACCACATTTTAATTGTTTGATACGATCCCCTAGAAATGTGAAAGAAGCTACCAATGTATTCACCCTCCTTGTTAAAAATAAGAAGAGAGGGACATATAAGAATGGCTAGGCGATGTTCAAGGAGGTAACAAAAAGAAAATGGAGATTTGTTCATGTAAACACGTCCTGTTTCTTATGCTATTTTTTTTTTTCAGAATTAGAGCCCAAAATCAGGCTAATTTCGTATCTGTTGAGATTTATGGCAGTGAAATTACTTTGTTCATCAAAAAAAAAAAGAAAAGTTTATGATATACCGTTATCAAATGTGATTTTTCTCCAACATTTGTCAATTAATATGAGCTGTTGCGTTTCGTAATCTTTCCAATTATGAAAACATTTTTGACAGGCGAATGCTACATCTGGAATGGCTGTGGAAGATGAGTGTAAGCTGAAGTTTTTGGAGTTAAAAGCCAAGAGAAACTATCGTTTTATTATTTTCAAGATTGAGGGTCAACAGGTGGTGGTGGAGAAGCTTGGGAGTCCCGAAGAAAGTTATGACGATTTCACTGCTTCTCTGCCTGCCGATGAGTGTCGCTATGCTGTGTTTGATTTCGATTTCATCACCGACGAGAACTGCCAGAAAAGCAAGATTTTCTTCATTGCTTGGTAAGGTCTTTAGCCAACCTCGTTGCCCTTTTCGTTCGAAGCCATTTCAAAAACCCGCAAGACTTCATTTGCTAAATACATCTTTCGATCCTGAAAACTTCCATAAACTATTTTTGATTGTCATTCATTAATTCAGATGCACGTATCTTGTTAGTATTTTTTTTTTTTTTTGGACGTGTTGAAGTTACAAAAGTTGTATGGCGTGATGCAATAATTAGGTCCCCAGACACATCGAAGGTGAGAATGAAGATGGTTTATGCGAGCTCAAAGGATAGATTCAAGAGGGAATTGGATGGGATTCAAGTGGAATTGCAGGCAACAGATCCTAGTGAGATGAGCTTTGACATTATAAAAGGACGAGCACTCTGAATATATCACCTTCACTTGATCGCCATCACGGAGACTCGGACTCTTTTTCTAGTACTATAATTCCCAAGCAATGCTATCGATTCGTCTTCCCTTTTTTTTTCTTTCTGTTCTTATTTTTGTTTTGGTTCCCTCAATTCAAAACTAAAACGTGTAGTGTAATGTAATATTATTGCAACCACTGTGTAATTTGAGATTCATAGTCTTAGCCTAATATACATTGGCTTGTAACAGCCTTGATCAGCGAATTCCTGACCTGCTCTCTACGGAGGAACACATCAAATTACCAACTCATCATGCCTTGTTTATAGAGAGAGCACAATTTAGAACGTAAACAGATATTAACTGGACGTGAATGTTTAATACACACACACACACACACACACTTTATATAAATATATATATATATATATATATATATATATATATATATATATAAAGCAGTGAGAGCAAAAGATCTCATTTGAAGTTTCAAAATATTTCTTTCAAAAAAGTTGCCAAAATACTCCTGATTTTCGTTGTACTACAGTCACAATCTTTAGGTTTGAAAGTTGTCCTCAATGCATGCGGGGCGAGATGATTAACCCATCCTATAGATAATTTGACTTTTGGTATTAACCCCGTGAGGTCTATTCCCGTGTAATTATTTTGACTGAATTTAGATTTGGATTTAGGATAAACTTTTTTTCCCCGCTTTGCTGTTGCATCTTTTAATAGTTTTTTAAAACAGTTTAAAAAGAAAAAAAAAGATAAAATCTAGAATATACCCAAAAGTAGTTTTAAGTGATCTGATTTTGCTAATCAATTTTGACAAAATCGACAATGAACGAGAACAAGCTGCATGTGTAACCTTGCCGAGTGGTTTTGGTGAACGAGAAGCCAAATTTTGGGATTGTATTTTGAAAAGCGAGTGATGCATAACAATTGTTATCTATGCCTCGAGACGCAGAGCCAGCAAACAAGATGATGGCATGAATTAACTGTGCTCATCTTTGAGTTTTCCAGTACTGTTTTTCCCACTTCTGTACTTGCTCTATCGAAATTTCTTTTCTCTGCAAAACTGAACGAAGAGTAGCAGGATCATAAGGAGGAGGCATAGTACATGGAGGCACCCCAGAGGGTCCAGCAGCAAAAGAATCCATCATGTACTTCTTAATTAATCCCTCCGCTGGGCAGGCCATTGACTCTGAACACAGCTCTACTGCTTGTCGAGGAACAGTTGGCTTGTACGTTAGAAGCTTACCATACTCTGCCAACAGGTGATACATGTAATCGTACACGTACTTCATGTTTAATTCCTCCTGAATAAATCTACTTGCTGCCCTGCCAATAGCCTGTGCCTGTAATATCCATGCATAGACGCGTATCTGTTAGAAAGCGTATCAATTTTGAAGCTTGATACACTGATCAAACACCATGTCAAGACTGGAATTAGTTCATAATCAAAGTTAAGGGCACCTCTTGCTGATGGCTATTAGTCGACTGCTACTTGATTGATCTGCCCATGGTATCATCTCTTATGGGCCAATAGTGTTGCAATGGCATCAAACTTCTTGTGAAGAAATCATAGTAATGTTGTTGAATCAGGCAAGAATGTATTCGCTCACAGGCTATATAAATTTTGTATCTGTTCGGTTCATTCAAGGGAAAAGGAGAGAAGTCAAAATCAAAATTCACTCGATCTGGCATAGAGCAGCATAAAATTAATGGAGAGCCTGAGTGCCCAGCTTCCACAGAAATGACAGCTGGAATGATTGAGGAGCTAGAAAATGAGCAAAAATGTTCGCTTGTCATTTTCATCTTGTACCTGTGTTTGCATTGGTTTGCTAAATCGGAATTTTTGAAACCTTCCTTTTGTTCTCGATGCCAGTCCTGTAAACTATAACTTGTTACAGACTGCCAATGGGCCATAAATTTCATATGCAGGAGTACCATTCAGCTAATAAGTTTTTGTATTTTCTTTCTTTCTATAATGCTTATGAATTACGGGATAAAAGAAAATCTGGGCACCTAAATTCTAATTCAAAGATGAAACGGAAATCTTGAAAACGATATATACACTTAGGTTCAAAAGTAGAATGTGGGATAGCATGCAATATTCAAAGAATTATGTGGCTATGGTCAGCTATAGTAAAGATCATCGGATTTTAATACCCGTCAGAACCTGCGGCCTAGTAGGTAAATCTTTGAGGGAGACAAAATCGAACATTGAAAAGGATGAACCAGATTCCATCACATGTATCATCTGCCTAAAATGGTTTTGGATACACAATATATGCAGTATCTATTACCTGAGCATAAATGCGCAGATTCCAGTCGTGTTCATCCGAAAGATTGCACCTGAGCAAATCCATCCTCTTTGGTGAAACATGAGGATTGCCCTTCCAAAATGCCAACGGTTCTCTGTCCATCCATTTTCTTCTTTCATTCGCTTCTTTTAGGTCCTTGGACAATGGTTCCCATGGCTTTATATTAATTTCTGGCCTGAAACATTGAAAGTTTTTACCAGTATCAATAAAAAGGAAAGGTTCGTATCAATTTAAATAAGCATTAAATCTGCTCTCTTTAGAGCACTTCTAAGGATGTGAAGTCCTTAATGAAAAATTCACCGCATGTAGTTGCAACATGCTAGATTTATAGGTAATCAAGAGATTTAGAGATATATTCCAACTCTCAATTGCGTTAAGTAATCGACTCGCCATACTTGGGAAACAAAATCAGAAGCAGCGGCTACACTTTTGGGTCAGTTTCGGGGCGGGGAGCCGAAGAGAGACCAGAAGAATGATTCATTTGGATTTCTGTTTCTGTCGCGACTGACGAATCACAGTACATATCCAGTACATGCTACCTTAACACCATTAGTTAAGATTACTAAAAAGTGGAGGAAATGCTTACCATCCCCAGAACGACCAATCTGGAAAGACAATGTCGAAGGTGGCATCATCCCCGTCATAACTGAATAAAGGTGGCGGTGCCTTAGCATTGGCACTGGGGTAATATTCTCGCACAATATTGGGGCGATCACCGCAGGTGAATATGAGGTCCAAATCAGGCAGTCGGCCAGGGTGCCGCCGCAGCAACTGTAAAATCCCCCACTGGGTAAAGATGTCTCTAGTCTGAAACGAATGCTTATACGTTTCGACATAAGCCGTGCCATTCACTATCACCAACCGGAAAGCAGCATTCTTATCCTTGGCTGCCTCAACCATCTCCGGCGTGATTCCCGTCTTTCTCCAAGGCAATAAATCTTCGTGTATCCAACGGAAGTATTCTGGGCATTGGGGTTGCTGGGCCACCGCTTCTGACTTCTCGTAAAAATCTTGTGATGAATATTTTGATGGGTAGTAATTTGTTGGGCAAGTTTTTGTAACGTTAGCAAGCGCGCAATTCAGGCGGAATTCGGTTCTACTCCTGTGCAACTTTTTCCCCGCGGGATGAGTGTATTTGTAAAATGGTATGCGGGGGAGTATTGACTTCTGCTGGAAATTTCCAGCAATTGACTGCACAATATAATATTGAATGTAATGTAAAAGTCAGTAGTACCAATCAGTCAAAATCTTAAAGGTAGCGTGTGGAGACTGGAGAATAGCTTAAATGGACAAGGCACTAGGAAAGGTACGGGGCACCGTTTTTCAAAAGCTATGAGCGATTGACCAAAGACTCCCTTCTCACATTTACTTCCAATCTTTTTTCTTTCTTTGAATGGTGTTATATTAATATATTATTGTGGAATTTTCATTACGGTACAAAACTAATTGTCAAAGACTTATCAATGGAAAGATGCTCGATTGCTATCCTTTTCAGCACTATTTGCAACTCTTTGGATAATGTTGTCTATTATTAATTATATGAGTTAATTTTGTATATATTGATTATGCATATACTAGTGATAATGTATAAATTATTAGTGGCGTTTTAAAAAAAAAAGTAGATATTAGTGGCTATATGTGCATGCCACATAATTTTATGGAATTTTCTCACCAAGTTAAACACTTAAGAATCACCTAATAATAAGTGATTCTTGTATGTCTAAGTTGGTTAAATCCTATTTTTACTCATTAAATTGATACATTGATTGATTTTCAAATTACCAAGATGCCAAAAGTAAAATATATTTCTCCATATATTGAATGATTTCAGCATTTAATTCACAGGGATGATAAAGTCCTCCTACAGTTCTGTTTGTATAGTTGTGACAACCGACAAATGTCGCTCATTATTTTGAATGCTCTTGTCTATTCAATAATAAAAAACAAAAAAAAAAGAATGAACTTCCACAGACGGTTCCTTTGGAGTTGTGGCAAATGTCATTCAAATTTTAGTGGCACAAAAAAAAAAAGAAAAAAAAGGGAGTGGATATAGCAAAAGGAAACAGAAAAACAAATATTCATCAATGGTAAGAAAATTGAGGCCATTATTTTCAATTAATTACATACCCGTTATGGGTTTTGCCTTATTTTCTACTTATAGTTATCGTATACGGTTTGCCCGGCCGGCGGGTGTCCATAGAGCACTCCTTATAAGATATATTTTAGGTGTTATGTTTTTTGAAAATATATGATTAATTAGAGAAAGTAAATAAATACAAGACATGATAGACGCGATTAAATATGAAAAGTATATAAATACAAGAGAAGATAATAATTATAATATGTGTGTATATATGATAAATTAGTTGAATACTGGGTGTATTAACGAGTGCCCTGACGGCACCCACCTGTTAGAAAAACCCCGCGTGGTTTAGATGTAAAAGTTATTTCTTAAAATAAGGAATATATAACCTGAATAAAAAGTCAAGAAGTGAATAAAGGCATCCAATAATTTAAGATACAATGAACTTCAGTCAATATAAATCCCCAAAAGCATCTGTACAAGATCGAGTATAGTTAAGGCATAAATCAACTCCAAGATACTATCGTGTTACTCCTATAACAACTCTTTTTATATATATATAACTTAAGTTATTAGGTAAATCCGCATACTCATCATATATGTTGCCTCTTATATTTAGATTCTTAATTTTTCGAATTAGATATAAATCGTTTAAAAGTCTTAGAAAATGAAATAAAGTACGGTTTAATTATGAGCCATTGGTGGAAGACTTGATTAACGATTTTAAAAAGGATACGCATGTAGTAGCTAGATTTTCTTTCCCTTATACGTAGTTGTAGATCATAATTAATCTGAATATTATTGACAATAATTGTGATTGTAAACTGACTGCATGTATATTATATAGTCAATATTATTGACTAAAATGTAATCTTGTTGTAACTTGTAAGCGTTAAATTAGCAAAAAACACACGTTAAATTTTTTTTTTTTTTTTTTTGGGGTTGGGTTCCTTCGAGTCAAGAAAATGTGGGAGAGTGGTGTCAGGTGTGAGAGGAGAGGAGGGCAAGACAGAAAGAGATCGAAGGAAGTTTAAAAAGGCACTCACCGAAGAATCGATCAAACGCGTAGAGAGGAATGCGGTAATGCAGAGAATGATTAAAAACAGCATGGCCAACGAAGATCTCACCAGAGTAACTTCGGATTTCCATGGAAGTAATATCTTCTCCGTGCAGTATCTGTTTTCCTCTCTCATCGATCTTCACTTTCTTCTTTCGTCTTTGTTGGATTTATTACGTATATCTCCGCAACCAAGTATGTATAACTCGCTCGATCACTACCGAACGAACACTGGTTTACCTTAATTTGCTTTACACTGCTGCTTTGATAACCTGCAGGTCCATAATATTTACGTATAACACCACATGCTGTCAACTGCTTCGCATGGCGAGATGCTTTTGACTTTAAGACACAAGGGAGTCGGGACTACGAAGCCTTAGATCGAGGAGAGCTATGAACTGTTTACAATAAAGAAAAGAAAAGAAAACAGGGGGTCTGTCTATTGAGAAATTAACTAGCGGAGGAGGAGGAGGGGATGCATACAATTTCCACACAAGGAAAAATCTATGGAGGAGGAGAGAGATAACGACGACAGCCATAGAAAGAAAAAAAAAATCTGATTCTATTTAGTAAGAGTAAGAAATTAATAGAGGAGAACGGTACGGTGTCTTAATTATTGACTAATTTTATTTAAAAAATAATTAAGACGGTAGAGAAATTAAGATGGAAGGAATTGAGTTGTGGCCGTTTGAAAACGCCAACTAGAACATTAGAGAGAAAGTAAGGGAAAAGGTCGTTCGTTTAGGAGGAACAAGTATTACCATAAAAATTCATATAAATTGACACATTAACAATTATTACCATAAAAATTCATACACGAACAAGTATCTTTGCATTTATATGTATATATATTTTCAAATTAATATTATTTTTTTAAAAACATATCGTATCTTATGGACACTCGTTAGACGGGCGCTCATATCATATAGTTTTATATAGATATAGTAAAACCGTTTTCTACTCGACTCAGTTTTGTTGTGCGAATAAACTTAGTACGCACAAAATATCATCAATTTCAGAGAGACCCGAGAATCCCACATCAATCAACCAGGCAACTTGTTTTGAAAGATATCATTGGACAGCCAAAACAAAATTGTGGAACAGCACAGCACCATCAAAATAATACACTACTCTATTCTTTATTAGGATGGAATTATGAACAAACTCATCAGGTAGAGAAGGCATACCGAAATCATGACTGACGGCATTAGATTAGGTAGAGAAGGCATACAAAATACTCCATGTAGTACTATTTCTTTCTGCCACTCTTATTGAAAACACACGTTTGACATTCTGCATCGCCTCTATATTTTTTACGCTCATCCCGGTGTTTCTATTGAATATTTGACATACTACCGACGCACGCGACGCCTATTGTAGTAAAATCACACAATCAATTTAATTTTTTTTTTTTTAAAAAAGGCAGGATAACAGAAGAGGGCACCATTTTCAAAACAACTGAAACATGAAAGCCCCACCATCAAATATGCTTAATGATTAAAGATTTTGACCCCAAAAAAAAATAAAAATAAAAATATGATTAAAGATTAAAACCACGTTGCAACGGCAAATGATGTCACAGCCGAAATTTTATATCTCCAGCTATGTTGTTGATTAAACACCTGGGATTCAGTGTTAGTAATTTAATTCTGATTTCTTCGTTGCAAGCTATGTTGTTGATTAAAATGATAAAATTACGCCTTTCAAGTCCAACTTGCATTTTGGTTTAATAAGGCGGACAAGTTTGAGCATTTATTACAAGAATATATATATATATATATATATATATATATATATATATATATATAGCTGTAGATATAAAATTTGAACCGTGGAAACATCTCTCACTATGACTAAAAGGGAAGCATCCCAAATGGAACGGAAGTAGTAGGGTGGACCTGGAAACCGCATTGACATATAAAGCTAAGTTGGCCCTTAATGGCAGATGCAGTAAATTTTTTTTATAAAATTTTTGATAGCTGCAGGGAAATTGATGATGACAAACCAGCTGAAGAAGAAAAACATGTCGTCGGCCCGTCTAATTAATTGTGATTGGTTTGAGTATCCCAATACTGTTTTTCCCACGTCTCTACCTGCTTTATTAAATCTTCTTTTCTCTCCAAAATTGAATGAAGAGTAGGAGGGTCGTAAGGAGGAGGCACGGTGCATGGAGCTGCCTCAGAGGGACTCGTAACAACGGAATCCACCATATATTTCTTCACCAATCCATCAGCCGGACAGGCCATTAACTCGGAACAAAGTTCAATTGCCTTCGGAGGAACGCTTGGCTTGTATTTCAGAAGCTTAGCATACTCTGTCAAGAGGTGAAACATGTAATCATACACATATTTCATTTGCAGCTCCTCTTGTACAAAATCGCTTGCTGCCTTGCCAATGGCCTGTGCCTGCGATATAAAACCTTGCTCTTGAGTTGGATGATAAAACTTGTTGCCTAGAAATTGACTAGCAGATTGTATGATCAGCACAGCAAGAATGGCGGCCTTAAATGAATAGAGTAGAAGGCCAACTAATTTACCTCTTCCTGATGGGTATTGCCCCAGTGAACAGCATACTTAATTGATCTGCACTTGTCATTCTCTCTTATGGGCCAATAGTGTTGCAGAGGTATCAAACTTCTTGTGAAGAAATCGTAGTAACGTGGCCTGACCACTAAACTAACAGAGTCACACGCAAGAATGTACTTTTCGCTTACGGACCACCCAATTCCTTCGATGTAGATTTTAAATCTGTATCATTCGTGCAAGGATGGAACTAAATCAAAGTTTACTTACCTAACCATACTTACAAGATAGTGTAATAAACATGGTTCACAATATCGGCCGAGTTGTAATCGGAACGGAGCGGATTGCCGTACGATACTGATTTCCGAATCGCGGATATGGTTTCGATTTGACTTGGCCGATATTGACCGATTCGAATCCGTGATGCATGATATCGGCCGATATATCCGAATCAATTCGGAGTCGATTTAGATATTTTTTTTTTCAAATTGTGCATTTTTTTATATTTTCTAATTTTAGTAATTTTTTCAAAAATTTTGAAAACTTTTATATGTATTATAATGTGCGTATCACCCGATATTCAACCGATATGTCGCGATGAATGTGACCGCGAACCATGGTAATAAATAACTAAATGAATGCATTGTTGTTTTAGTCGAAGGATTTACTTGTTCTTACCTGTGGATGCATTGGTCTGCTAAGTTAGAATTTTTGAAACCCTGTCGTTGTTCACGATGCCAGTCCTGTTGATTCAGTATAAATATTAATAATCAGAGTTGAGTCCTTTGCCCGCGTATTCAAGAAACACAAGACTCTACCCAGATTGGTGGTTAGCTTTTCTTTCTTTCTTTTCTTATCCCCGACCCGAATGGAGGAAATTTTTAACAAATTTTAAATTTATAGATAATTAAACATCAGGCCCACCTTTCATTCTCTACCCAGAATTGAAGAACCATAATTAAATACAGTACAGTACCTGATAATAGACACGGGCATTCCAATCTTGCTTGTCCGAAACATGGCACTTGAGTAAATCCCTCCTTGAAGCCGTAAGTCTAGCGTTGCCCTTCCAATATGCATGTGCTTCCCTGTCCACCCATCGCATCCGCCGGTTCCCTTCTTTTAGCTCCTCGGACAATTGCTCCCATGGCTTTATAACAATTTCAGGCCTAGCCATTTATTTGTTCCAATACATACAAACGGTAGACTGTAAACAAAAACAACGCTGTGTTTCTGACTCTAAGCCAAGTTAATAGTATAATTTAAAACTCGAAATGCTTACCATCCCCAGAATGACCAATCCGGGAAAACAATGTCGACGGTCGCATCATCTCCGTCATAGCCGAACAGCGGTGGCGGGGCGGTGGCGTTGGATTTGGGATAACATTCTTTAACAATACCCGGCTGGTCCGCGCAGCTAAATATGAGATCCAAGTCGGGCAGTTTACCCGGGTACCGCCGTAGCAACTGTAAAATTCCCCACTGCGTGAAAACATCTCTCGTCTGAAACGACCTTTGATAAGTCTCCACGTAAACAGTCCCATTCACTATAACCAGTCGGAAGTATGCCCTTCTTTTGGCCGCCTCCACCATGTCTAGTGAAATTCCAGTCTCCCTCCAGGGCGACAGGTCTTCGTGGATCCACCGGAAGTAATCTGGGCAGGCCTCGGGAGCGGCCGCGTCTTCATCTCGTGCCGAAAGATTTGGTGGGTGGTAAGTTGTTGGGCAAGTTCGTGTGCTGTTGGTAACAGCGCAAGTCAATGGGATTTCAATCGGATTCCTCCTGGGCTTTGTCCATGGATCATGAAGAGGGTATTTTGAAAATGTGACGCCACTGAATATTGATTTTCGAGGGTAATTCCCTGCATTCCACTGAAACACATTTTCAAATTACCAAAAACGAGAGATATCACAAGCCAAAAGGTACTTGAAATAAACAAACGAATCATCTGATCTAGGATTTCTTGGCAGTAATTAATAATATCAGTTTATACTTGCAAGCTAGATACGTTTAATTCCCAAAAAAAAAAAAACTTGTAAGTTGAAATTCTTACATTAACACTCATTCTAATTTGGTGATGTATGGTACTAAAAAAAAATCAAGGGAACTCATACTAATTTTTTACACTTACAATAGTCAGTATGGTGGTACTATAACCTTTGCCGACTATGACAATAACAATTCTGCCAAATAAATATTATTAATGCGAGGTCCTGAATAACAACAAAGGGCGGGATGTCCGCTTCTTCTCTTCTGTCGGCGGCAACCTGTGCGAGGGCATACTTGATTTCTAATGCTTACTTCCACAATCCTTCTCTCACTCTTGACGCTCCTAAACGCTTTAGAAATGAAGCGGAAATTCTATCTATTTGAGAGTCAAATATATACGAGAGAATGTTTACAACAGAAAACCAAAAAAAAAAGAAAGGTGCATGAAAGATTAGAATTCCATAGCAAATGAAAAATAAGCGGCAACAACGAGAGTAAATTCCGAAATTATTTTGGGAATTTCTTCGCTAAGTTTCTTCTTCTGTCAATCCACCTTCTCCACCCCAAATGGAAGACTGTGTGTGTTATCCCAGAAGGGGCTGCAAGGATCTGACTTCCGTTTGGTGCTGTACTGTACTGATTCAACTCGGACTAATGTCTAGCAGGATCAGTCTCTCTCTTGAAAAAAAAAAAAGAATGAAAAGATCCAGAAGTGAGAAAATCATGTACTAAGTTAGTTAATACAGAGATAATTACCCTGAAGTCGAGCAAGCGTGCCGAGAAGAAAGCCGCAATGCACAGAATGAAGAAGAATAATGTAGCCAGATAAGATACGCAGCGACGTTGGAGAATCCCGTGCAGTAATGCTGCCGAATCTCTCATCTTTGCATTGGCCAAATAAATGCGTCTCCAACTTCTTCCTCTTCTAGCCTAGAGAGCATTGACTAGATGCATCTCTGCCGCGCTCTTGAAGAAGGCACTGATTCAGCATTGCAATACCAGCTGATCGATAGCTGATCTTGGCAACTATTAGTAAGAAATTCGACTAGTCGTTGTGTTGATTGCAAAGACAGAAAGCCTTAGCTTTCACATGGCCAAAGCGTTTCTTGAACAGAAAGCATGGTTTTGGAGTTGCTAATTAAACAAACAGAGCTGAAGATGGAGCAAACAAATGCGCCGTGAACAAGGGAGGAGCAAATGAATATTGTGTAAAGTGTACTGTTCGCGTTGACTTCGCATTGCTTGGAAGTGCGGGCTAACTATGTAGAATTTCACAATAACTTGATGAACTAGCCATTAAATTTTCCTGAAATATTTTATTGGCTCGATGATTTTCGTTTCTTTTTTTTTTTTTAATAAAAAAATTGACTATTTTATGATCGAAACTTTCAGCTGTTTAGTTCGCTAGTTTTTGTCTATCATGTCAAATGAAATGGAAGAGATCATGATGTAGTTACACACTTCAGAGTGGACCCCTAGGAAATTTTCTTATCAGCAATCACCAAATTGCAAGAACAAATCAGATGTTGGATTAGGAGTCGTTATCAATCCAAGTATAGCATTTGCCTATTTTGAGGTTTTTCATTAGGATGTACAGCTTTGACACTTCTTTCTGAAGCTTCTCGTTTCTCTAGAATTTAAAACTTCAATCTGACGAAGTATATATATATCCTTAAAGGCGAAAGCTTCCCTCTCCCTCTCTGCTGTGTTTGGACAGCCATTTTTCATCGAAAAATTACAATGTTTTCGTGAACACATTTTTCTATCACCTTTTTATCTCGCATCCATCAAACCGCTATAATAATTTTTCTACAAAAAATTCAGGAAAACACAGTATACTACTTCTTTCTATTAGGGTGAAGAAAAAGAAAGCTGGCCATTGGAGGAGGAGGAGGAAAAATATTTTGATCCTAAAAGCTTCCTTTGAGGACACTGAAACTTTTCTAAGAATATAACTAAGTAAATAATTTTATTGGAGAAGGGTACTGTGTTTGTATATTAGATTGTTTGAGATTTTTTTTTTGAAAAAAAAAAAAAACACTGCAACACTTTTCTAATTTAATGTATGTGACATAAAAATGTGATTGAAAAATATATTGATGATACAAACAAATAAAATTTGACAAATAATCTACTATCCAAACAAATCAGCAATTGAAAAACTGATGAAGCTTTTCTGGTCAAACCAGTGGTACGCGTGGAATAAAATTTTAACAAAGTTGTTGGACAAGGGGCATGACAAGATAATACTACCATATCAAATTGTTGATGGAAACGTGAAAGCTTTATAAATCACTATAAGTTGCCAACTTATGATGCACTATTGATTTTCTTATGCTTTTTGTTTTTTCTAATTATTGTTATTATTTTTGGTAGGGCATGGTATTGTGCTACGAAGCGTAGCTAAGCGGATTATAGAGCAAACAAAGTCAGGGAAGCTAGTTTGAAGTTTCTAGATGTTATAGTTACTCATTTTGTATTTGAAGAATTTGATTCTAGTTCATTTTGAAAACAATTGAACCAAACTCCTAGCGACAAATTTTAATCAGCTACCCTCTTCTCTTTTTTTTTTTTTCCTTCTTTTTATTGAGAAAATGATGAAAGATTACTCAATTACTCATCAACAATGGTAAGAGGAAAGTTTCTTTGACTGGGAACCGCCAAACTTTGCCAGACCTGATTCGGTCCAGCGCGCATCGCGTTGCCGCTGCTTCCCGTTAGTCGGTGAGGACCGAGCATGGGGAGATGCCCTTGCCAAACCTTTAGGGCTAAAAGGTTGACCCGGTCGCAAATTCTTGTAGTGGTAACTGGTAACTAATAAATTAGTACAACAGGTCCCATTGGAGCCCGTAGCATGCCCTGAGTTTAGAATGCATTTACTGCTAACACAAATTGAATTTGATTTTGTAATGTGAGGTGCATATATTACAAGGAAATGAGAAATTTGCCTTAATTTAAGCTGATTTTTTTTTAAAAAAAAAAAATTTCCTAATAAGGAAAGGATATAATTTAAGAATTAAGTCGAGTGGGGGAAAGAAGATTAGAACCTAAAGCCTCTAAATTTTGAAACCTTTGGTTTAATGATTAGATCATAACATTCTCAGCATGCTAAATTAAATAGATAATTCAACTATTTTGGCTAAAAAATGAATACTTGATGGAATCTTTATCCGCAAATCATAATTCTTTTTTATTTTGTGGAGGTTATATCGTTTATATCTACATATGTGTAATTACATGTTTTCTCCCTAATTATTGGTTTCATTAATGGCACATGATATGCCATTTTTGAGCAATATTTGCAATCTAAAATAATTAACTCGAATCCAGTTTCAAGTTTATCCTAGGTTGATAGGGTCACATTAGGAAAGATTAAAAACTTTACGGGCCGGATTAATCCAACTAGACAACACAAGTGAGAATAATACTGGGTGCATTTTTTAATTAAACCTAATGGACATTTCATGAAAGGATAGAAAGAGAACATAATACGCATAAACCTAATGCATATAACACATAAGATAACATGATACACATAAAAGAGAGAGAGAGAGAGAGAGAGAGAGAGAGAGAGAGAGAGAGAGAGAGAAACATACGTTTAGGTAATAAATTAAAAAGAAAAAGAAGAAGAAGTGCAACTAAGGGTCTGTTTGGTTGGAAGTAAAATGTTTTTCTTGGAAAAATATTTTCCGTGGAAGTAATTTTTCATAAAAATCATTTCCCTTTCGGGTCTGTTTGGTTGGAAGCCGTGGAAGTAATTTTCCATGAAAATCATTTTTCTTTCATCATTTTCAGGTGTTTGGTTAGTTTATTGAAAATATTTTCTTACTTCATTTTTCTGGTGTTTGTTTAACTTTTGAAATATTTTCACTTTTATCTCTATCTTTACTTTTTACACATTATAACTATATACTTCTTCCCATGCAAAATAAGAAAATTTATCTCATTGTTTAACTTTAAAAAATCTTGGAGAAATGTATATATGAATAAAAAATATCTCCTTAAACAATAAACAAATTGCTATGCAATGCTTATTGTGACATATATCTTGCACTCTCACTGTTGAAAGTTTCTTTAGAAAAGAATGTCCCTATTATACATAATTAATTACTAGCATAGGATGAACAGGATGAGATTTTTTTTTTATTTTGAATATAATAGGGGGAGGGTTGGGTTGGGTTGGGTGGTACGGGGGAGGGAGTATAAGGAAGAGGTCTTGGATTCGAGTTCTCCTGTTTACACTAAAAAAAAAAAAAAAGAACATACTACAAGATGTTTTCAGTAAGTTTGGAACATACTACAGGTGGAATGCATGCATTTCGGAAAACAACTTCAGTAAGTTTGGAAGGGAAGTTGTTTTCCATAAAATGAGTGAAAATATTTTACATAGGAAAATGTTTTCAGTAACTTTTGTGCAACCAAACACGGGAAATTAGGAAAATATTTTCTTGGAAAATATTTTCACCCGAAACAAACGGACCCTTCATCATTTTCAGGTGTTTGGTTAGTTTATTAAAAATATTTTCTTACTTCATTTTTCTGGTGTTTGTTTAACTTTTGAAATATTTTCATTTTTATCTCTATCTTTACTTTCTACACATTATAACTACATACTTCTTCCCATGCAAAATAAAAAAATTTATTTCATTGTTTAACTTTAAAAAATCTTGGAGAAATGTATATATGAATAAAAAATATCTCCTTAAGCAATAAACAAATTGCTGGCCATTTAGTGTCAAATATCAATCACATGCAATGTTTATTGTGACATATATCTTGCACTCTCACTGTTGAAAGTTTCTCTAAAAAAGAATGTCCCTATTATACATAATTAATTACTAACATAGGATGAGTAGGATGAGTTTTTTTTTTTAATTTTGAATATACTAGGGGGAGGGTTGGGTTGGGTTGGGTTGGGTTGGGTGGTACGGGGGAGAAAGTGTAAGGAAGAGGTCTTAGGTTCGAGTCCTCCTGTTTACACTAAAAAAAAAAAAAAAAAAGAACATACTACAAGATCTTTTTAGTAAGTTTGGAACATACTACAGGCGGGATGCATGCATTTCGGAAAACAATTTCAATAAGTTTGGAAGGGAAGTTGTTTTCCATAAGATGAGTGAAAATATTTTACATTGGAAAATGTTTTCAGTAACTTTTGTGCAACTAAACACGGGAAATTAGAAAAATATTTTCCTGAAAAACATTTTCATCCGAAACAAACAGACCCTAAGTATGCTTCTTTTGAGTCTCCCAATATTGTTTTTCCCAGGCCTCCACTAGTTTTGTTGTGTTCCGTTTTGTCTCCAAAATTGAACGAAGGGTTTGAGGATCATGAGGAGGCATGGAGCAGGGAGGGGAATCAGAGGGACCTTTGATCATACTGTCCATCAAATACTTCTTCTTCAATCCGGCCGTGGGGCACGCCATCGACTCCAAACAAAGTCGAACCGCTTTTGCGGGAACAACAGGCTTGTACCTGAGAAGCTTAGCGTACCCATTCAAGAGATGAAACATGTAATCGTACACGTTTTCCATTTTCATTTCTTCTTGAACGAATTTGCCAGCTGCCTTGCCGATGGACTGTGCCTGCACTGGTACGAGCGTGATTGGAAGTAGTTTTTTTTATAAAAAAAAAAAATTTTTAATAAACTGTCTTTGTGTTGAATATCTGAAAACGTTCGCATAGGAGAAGTTGAGAATGGATTAAAGGAGAGATTAAATTACTTCATCCTCGCGGTGGTTGCCCCATTCAACAGCATACTTGATAGACCTGCACTTGTCATTACCTCTGATAGGCCAGTAGTGTTGCAAAGGCATCAAACCTCTGGAGAAGAAGGTGTAGTAACGGGGACTCACTCGTAAAGTAACAGAATCACAGGCAAGAATGTATTTTTCACTTACTGACCACCCAATTCCTTCCATGTAGATTTTATATCTGCATGCATGGTTCGAGCAACGGAGGAGACAAATCAATACTTGCGCTGAGCATTTTGCTTTTAGCATTCACAATATAATACAGGGACAAGTCCCAGCAGCCACTTCCAAAATTTTAGAGCAGCATACACTGATCTGCAAAACTCTTTTAGTACCAGCACTGCTTGTACAGGAAGCTGCAATATACCTGTGGCGACATTGATTTGCAAAACTCGCTCCTTTGAAACCTTGCTTCGATTCTTGACCCCAATCCTGCAACAATTTTTAAACATGAACCTCTAATTAATGAAGAAGATGATGAATCGTTCACAACTAGAACAAGATTACTCTATCTGTTACCTTAACTCTAATACGATTTCC